CCCCCCCCGTCCACCCCCACCCCCCCCCACCCCCCGCCCCCCCCCCCCCCCCTCTTCTCTCTCTCTCTCCCTCTGTTTCTCCAAAACAAAGATTTAAACATGGCTTTAGCTACCCAGCCCACCACCAACCTCCTCCAAAATCCCTTCCTTTCCTCTAAACCCCAAACAAGACCCCAACTATCCATCGCCGTCCCTTGCCCAAGAACCCGTCGTTCTAGCTCAGTCCAATGCTCTGTCGCCGTCGCACCCTCCGCAGCCCCCAAGGCTTCCAAGGAGTACCGCCTCAAGTCGGTCAAGGCCAGGCAGATCATTGACAGCAGAGGCAATCCCACGGTGGAGGTTGACCTTATCACCGACGATTTGTACCGATCGGCCGTCCCCAGTGGCGCCTCCACTGGAATCTACGAGGCCTTGGAGCTCAGAGATGGAGACAAGGCCGTTTATGGAGGCAAAGGTGTGCTCAATGCTGTCAAAAACATCAATGAGATTTTGGGACCCAAGCTCGTTGGCATCGATGTCAGGTTAGTTTTATTTCATCCTTATTGTTTTTACTCACCTTTAAAGTTAATGTATTTCTGATAATAGTTTAGCAAAATAGATGTTAGAAAGACTTGATTAATTTGAGCATGTTATGGAAAATTGTATTTGAGTTTTAGGCATCAAATGGCACGGCAGAGCTAGTTTTACTTCAAACTTTACTACTTGTGAGCTTTTGGTTTTCAAATTATCAATGACAAACATGTGTGATTATGAAATGCTATTTCTTGATGACTACTTAGTTCGCTGGTATGGCTGTGATCAAGCTTACTGTAAAGCTGTAACATAACATGATATTACAATTTGCCCAGTTAACACATGATTTCCCTGCCCTTCTTTTAACTTGTCATCAGTTCTTGTTGGCCTTGATGTTTATTATTAAGTTTTGTGTGAATTGTATGTTGTTTTGTACATGTTTGCTGTATGCTGGTTATGAACTTGACATTTTTGCCTTTTTTTGGTTTATCAAGAAATCAAAATGATGTTGATGCCGTTATGTTGGAAATTGATGGAACCCCAAACAAGTCAAAACTGGGGGCCAATGCCATATTGGGAGTATCTCTGAGCGTGTGTAGAGCAGGTGCAGGAGCAAAGGGAGTGCCATTGTACAAGCACATCCAAGAAGTGTCTGGAACAAAAGAGCTCGTTATGCCCGTCCCAGCCTTTAATGTGATCAATGGAGGCAGCCATGCTGGAAATAATTTGGCCATGCAAGAATTTATGATCTTGCCTGTAGGTGCAACTTCATTTGCTGAGGCACTTCGTATGGGTAGTGAAGGTTAGCAAGATTTGTTATTCATTTTCTGCACATATGGTTTAGTTATGTGAAGCGTCTAGTGGTTATATGGACCAGAAATTCTTTAGCATGTTTCCACCTTTTTTTGCACAGTTGATAACTCATAACTGTTGTGCATTGCTTGAAACAGTTTATCATATACTCAAGGGAATTATCAAGGCAAAATATGGACAGGATGCTTGCAATGTTGGAGATGAAGGAGGATTTGCTCCCAATGTACAGGATAATAGGGAGGGACTGGTTTTGCTCATTGATGCTATTGAAAAGGCTGGTTACACAGGAAAGGTAGGACGTTATTCATCTTTTGCAAATTAAATTAGAGTAATGTGTTATGTGAACTCACAACAATGTTAATGATGCAGATCAAAATTGGAATGGATGTTGCGGCTTCAGAGTTTCTCACTAAAGAGGAGAACTACGATCTCAACTTTAAGAAACAACCAAATGATGGGGCCCATGTGCTCTCACCTCCAAACCTTGGCGAGCTGTACAAGGAGTTTATAAAAGACTTCCCCATTGTGTCCATTGAAGATCCGTTTGACCAAGATGATTGGAGCTCGTGGGCTTCACTTCAATCTTCAGTTGATATCCAACTTGTTGGAGATGACTTGTTGGTCACAAATCCAAAGAAAATTGCTGAAGCCATTCAGAGGAAGGCATGCAATGGCCTACTTTTGAAGGCAAGCAACTTTAACTGTATTGGTTTTTTTCTTTTCCGTGCAATGGTAACAACCATTTGTGTTGATGAACTTGGTTGAGCTTATTTTCTTCCTCTGAATTGCAGGTTAACCAGATTGGCACCATAACTGAATCTATTCAGGCAGCACTTGACGCAAAAGCTGCAGGTTGGGGTGTGATGGTCAGCCACCGGAGTGGGGAAACTGAGGATAACTTTATTGCTGATCTTTCTGTTGGATTGGCTAGTGGACAGGTTTGTTAGTTATTTTCTATGACTATGCTCTCTATCATTTCATTTTATTGGTGCCATGAAATTGAATTTTGCATTTTCTTCTGTATAGATAAAGACAGGAGCTCCCTGCCGAAGTGAGCGATTGGCCAAGTATAATCAGGTAAAGTGTTACTTTTCCTACTACCCCAACACCACCCACTTATAACTTGCTTCCCCAAACGTGGTCAAATCCTTAAAAAGTCATAGCGGCTGAAATAATCTGTTTATTTGTTGTGTTCTGATTTGCTTGCAGCTTCTGCGTATTGAAGAGGAGCTTGGTAATGTGCGTTATGCTGGTGAAGCTTTCAGATCACCCTAAAGGAAGAAATAGACAACCGCATTTATCAAGTTATCCAAGCTTCCACTCTATTTAGATCTTTGGGTAAATCTGCAGAAATTTTTGATAGAGCTTATAAAGTTAGGTGTCATTTGAATAGTTCCGTGTGCTGAATTTGGGCATAAGACACCAGGCGTCTTCTCTTCAATAGAAACATTTGTTAGTCAATAAAAGATGTTGGTGGTCTCAATCAAATCATCTTCAGGAGTTTGTAGGGAACTGGTCAAACGCGACTGGTATCCAGTTCAACTTTGTAATTCTTGTGTGGCATTGTAATGTAATGTATTATTGTGTACTATATTATATTCCACCTTGTTTTTCAATTTTTCAATCAGGGCCAAATATCGTGTTTTCATAAAAAGCATTCTCCATTGAAATTGTGGTGTAACATGAACTTACATAAGCCATGCATGCCGGTAAACAAAAAAAGATAGGACAATAATTGCCAAAAAAAATCGTTGGGTGCATTCATAATTAACATTGTAGCTATTGCAACCACCATAACTTTCCTGAGTTAATGAAGAAAGCCACACAAGCAAGGAAGGTCGCTCGTCCGGATGACTTGACTTGATCTTAAACTTGATATCATAACCCAACGACAAGCTCCATTTTTCTTTCAATTCACTTGATAAACTGCAGGCTCGAGCACCATAGTTGCCTCTTTGCTTAGGCTTATGTAGTCAACCACAATGGAATGTTTTCTCTCTTAGGGTCCAAAGCTGGAGCAAATACAAAGAACCATGGGGCTCATTTAGTAATCGTCACTAATGACCGATGAGGGTTAAACTTGAATAGTCGGGCCTGTGTAATTTCCCGGGCGCATATAGAGATTATCTGGTACTGTCTCAGCAAGCCATGCATACTCCTCTTCTTTACCATCCTCTATCTTAATTCCGTTACCAGTAGCTACAGTGTTTAGCAGACAACTATAATTATCAGTTTTCATCTTTTTCTTTCCTTGTAATGCGAACAAGTTCACGAAGGAAAGAAAACTCTAACTAGAAACCAAAGTTACTTACCAAAGGCAGTATACGGGTAATCACGGTAGTAGGTACATTTTCTGCCTGCATCTTCTCTGTAAGGGGGAGTGAGAATGTCAAGGACAGCACAAGGAGTGACTGCAGTAAAATAATGCAGATTCCCCCCATTCCTTGGATACAAAACTGATGTCCCACATGGCGCTGTTAAAACCTTGTCAACTGCCAGCTTTGCCAATCTCACTGTATTGGATGGAAACTTCATCAGTTCTCCCATATTTTAACCCTCAAAATATGAAAATTATGAGCATAGAACATGGGCCAATTCATAAGGGCATGACTCTTACGACCTCTCTGATAGTATCTCACTCATGAATCTAGCCTTTTAAAATCACTAAAATGGCCTTTTTTATTGGACTAAATGATATAATCATCTGAATAATTTCATTACCTACAATATTTTCTTAATAATTAAAGAACAGAAAAGATAGTAGAAACTTTTATCATAAAATAAACACTAAGAAAAAAAATCTTTGAACAGTGTGAGTGAAGCCCAAGAAACTACAGGAACAGCAATACGAAGTGTAACTGTGCCATTTACAAGCTGAAAACTACATGAAAAACCAGACCTGGAAAGTAATTTGGTCCCTTGCTTTCCTGGGCAGGCTCGACCCAATCATAAGCTCTCACATGCAAAGAGCCATAGAGAACTTTACTAAAAACAGTCATCCCAGGATGGTCATGAAGTGGAATGACTGAGGAGGTAGGAAAACAGAATATACACATCTGCATAAAATCATTTACTTAATCCGTGAGTATAAATTTCAGAGAGCTTTGAATGTAACAACAATCTAAATTCCTTTTTGACTGATAAATTATAAGAATGGTGGTCCCAATGGTCATGTTATGGAGAATTACAACAAATAGATTCTTTTCATCAATGAAAAGACACAAATGAATATAATGTCAAAAATTCATTAAAAGATCCATCTTTTTTTGTTTCTCACGGTACCAAATACTGTAAATAAGAAACTCGAAGGAAAACATAAATAGAATTTTGATTTGGGAATGGAACAGAGAAGATGGTAGAGCTAACTGTAAAAGTATATTTCTTTTTTGCTAAATGCTTACCGTAAAACTATCACATTCATATATATCGAAGTATGTTATTGGTTGAGCCCATCGAGCAACTCTATTTAGTTGTTCAAGTCCAAAAAATCCGTGGCCTCGATCGTCATCCAGATTTTCCTCTTTAAGACCAACATCAGTTGGAGACATTGTGTCTGTGAATTCCAACCAATATCAGAAAAATAAAGGCAAGATACTGTGACATGGCGTATCCTAACTATAAAAATGATGAATCATATATGAGTATCTTGGTCTTCTAGTTATTAGGAAGGAACTGAAACTGTCATCATCTTTCTTAGTTAAGGCCTCAAGATCTGATATTTCGTGTTTGGACACGTTTTAAGCAGGAATCGATTATTGTGCAAAAAAGACAAATATTATTAACCAAATTTATGCATGTGACAAACAATAGGACAAAAGCAAAGACATCATTATGACTTAACCAATAATGACACATTCCTCATATAAAAGTTCAACCAAGCCGCTTCCACATACCAGAGGCCATGGAAATCTATATCAGAAGTAGCATTGGTCTTTAGCTATTACTATCAATAAGCAACAAAGCCCTATCAGCCAAGTTTATATCCTCAAGAAAAGGAAAAACCATCAAAACTTGGACACAAATGGCACAAGGGAAAGAAACGTGATTCTTCATCCAACTAGTTTTTCACCTTGACGAGCAATCCGGTAATTAAGTTAGCATTTTGGAGGTAAAGTCTTTCTCTTTAGAGCAAACATCATACTAGAGTAACAATGCATGTTATGAATCTAAACTCACTTTGCAGACAAACCTTAATTGCTTCAAGTTTCACATATTTCATGCTAACCTAGTCCACTGCTAAATTATATGACAATGTAGGATATTCCATTATAATTTAGAACCAAGACCTAGTAGAGTTACAAAATCAATATATTCTAGCAATTTAACGAAACCCCCTAAATATATCGCTCAATTCTCAATTACACCACCAAAACGAGCAAACTCAATTTGAGTTTCGACATAATTTGCAAAACCAATATGCAAAATTGAGCCAAACTTTGGTTACACACTTCACATATAATATTAATTATATATATTTTTTTTAAAGACGAGAGAAATACCCAGAACAGAACAAAGCTTGTTGATTGCTGCAGAAGAAGGGGGAGACCCCGACGGCGTGAACATGTTTTGACAGAGTTCGTAGAGAGCTTGAACTTTGGAGCTCTTCCTGGCCATGCTTGTGGGGCTTCGAAACGCACTAAAATTGGCTCTGTTTTGTAAAAGCATCCGCAACTTATCAGATGCTTTTTGAAATTTCGGAAACATTCTGGTAGCCACCGACAAATTAGAAAAACTAAAAATATTTTTGGAGTGAAAAATTTAGGGCCTGTCTTTCAGTTGTGAGTTCCTCCACCAAAAAAAAACAAATAATTTTAAAAACAAAAAGAAAGACAGGAGACAGATTAAACTTGACGTGGCAAAATGCCGTGGATCCACGTGTCCGCTCTGTTCTCCTAAATATTTCCATTTTCAAAATTCAAGTCCAATTTTCCCAGACTTTTCAAAGTGCGCCATTTTACAGAGCCACTGCGAGAATGGAAGGCAGTGAAAGCGAGGCAGTGTTCGATTCGCTTAACGTTAATCCGCAGCTGTTTATCAACGAGGTCTTCAACCTCGTCGATGATTTGGTCGATGACGCTTGCAATCATTTCCACCAGTAACTCTCTCTTTCTCTTTCTCTCTCTGAAAACCTAATTCAGCAGCTGCTTATGGCATTTTTATTTTTCTGATGATTTCCTCCAGACAAGCATCAACCTCCCTGAAGATCGAGGGCACTGACAGAACCCAAGATTTAGACAAGGTATAAATTTCACTCCTTGCTCTCTTTTTTCTTGTTTTGCCTAATTTGTTAGCATTTCAATTCATTCCATAATTTGAGGGCTTGTTCCGTTATACAAAATTCTCGAATTGATGTGTTTGTTTGTGAACGCATTCTTTCTTTTGGGTGTTGGTCCATGTTATTAGTAAACTTGAATTTTAGTCCATGTTATTAGTAAACTTGAATTTTAGCTTTTTTAAACTTTGAATTCTCTTGGTGCTTGACACATTGCATCGGATGATTTTCATAAGGTCAAATGAAACAAACACATTTCACCATGGATTTAAACAGAATTGGTTGAGGATTATATTTCCCTCGTTCTAACTAATAGGAGGTGCAATCTTTGAAGAAGAAAAAATCTTATTGGGTCTGGTCAGTTATTTATCTGTTTTTCTCTGTAGGGTATTAATGTTATCCGTAAAAAGGTTCAATCAGATATTGATAAGCGGCTAGCTATGTGGGAGCAGCACTGCCATAACCACTTTTTTCAAGTTCCTGAGGGGTTCATGCTGCCCAAAAGTGTAGGGTTTTTTTTTCTTCACTTATTTGATGCTTTCAAGTCAGTTTTATCCACACTCCTATTGTGAGAGAGAAAATAATTGGTTTATAGGAATTGCAATGTGGAGTGTGTACATTGGAAGTAATACTTTTCCATTCCATAAACCTTGTATAATTCAATAACTAAAGAAAATTGCTTTCTAGGATGAATCACCTGTCGACACTTCTATATGTCAAAATGCAATCTGTGACCCAGACTTGGATGCCCAGTTGGATTTATTAAGGAACAACCTTACTAAGGTAATTACTATATACTAGAAGTAGCAAGGATCTCTTGTCTGCATAAAATTGTGATTTCTTTCATTTCCAGATTGACATCTATTTTAACAAAATACGTTTACAGGTTGGTCAGGAGTCTGCTGCGCTGAACCGAGAGCTCCAATCATTAGAACAACAGTCTGCTTCTAACGATCATATTTCTGCCCTCAATGAGATTTCGCTACTATATGACCAAAACTCTTATCATGAGATGTTCCAAGGTAACTAACTAAATGCTCCTGCCAAATATGTTCAAATTTAGTGTGCTTTAGCATCCGTTTTAACTCATAATACTAAAATACATGGATTTAGCTTTATGAAGGTTTTTCTTCTAATATATTAGGTGATTAGACCTTGTTCTTAACTACTTCTGATGTTAAACCTCAACTCAAGGCATAGATGTCTTATAGTTTTTTAGTCTGTCCTGTACTTTTAGTAACTTTCTGGCTGCTAGATCCCTGAAAGTGACAAAGTTACAATCATATTTGTTCTGCAGGAAAACTTGTATTTAGTAATCTGCTACTTTTACCATTTCTTGTTTCAAGACTACT